CAGAAATGTAACTCTTTGTATTAATACGCGTTATGAATAATAGAATAAATTCGATTCGATCGCGTACAGGTGTACCAAGAAGGGACTTGTCCGTACTTGACGTGATTAACACTAGACGTATACCTACTTCTGTCAAAGTAGTTCAAATATTTGTTTTTTTAAATTATTAAATTATTTAGGAAAAGACGTAGCAATTTTTACGTTTTTATATATATTTTTGCTATTTTATGAGCGAAAATTAAATATTAACTGAATAAGAATAATAATATAATAACAACAATTTTAAAAAAAGATTTACGCGTAAAATTCAATGACATTCTTTATAAGTTACAAATATTCAAGGGGTAAGACGCAGTCAGAGGCGTGAAAAAAGGAGAATTTTTAATAATTTTTTTCTTATAATAATTAGGTTTGTTTTAAAAAACTGATTACACAGAGTTTTTAAATTTAGTTTAAACTTGACTTCTACAAAATTTCAAAAAAAAAAAATTAATTATGTAGGATTTTTAATAGGAAGAACAGTTTTATTAGAAACTCAATTAGAAAACGCAGATCCTCGCTTATTTATCGCACAATGGTGACTGCTTTTGTTGCTCGTGCATCGATTCGTTGCGTCTACGCCGTTCCTTGTTTCGTTCGATGGATTAGGTTACTCAAAAATAACACACGCATATCGCCCTACGCTATACGCACTAGTGTCTTTGTCGGCAGAATACGAGATAAGACGGTGACGCTTACCCTCTCCTAAAATTATTTATAAAAGTAACGACATCTTTTTGTTGGACCCCGTTTCGTATGTAGTGCTTTGCGGTGACCATTTGAATATCTTATTGGATAATCCAAAAAAACAAAATATAAATCATTAGTTTAATAATAAATCTTGTTCTTCATCGAAACTTTTTTATTTTCTTTGAAAATTAACAAAATGATGACTCTTGGCACTTTTTTTCAATTTTCGATAGAAAAATTATGAGTCTATTGTTAAAAAAAATCGAAGTTTTTCTCTAAAATAAAACTGCTTCGATACAGAATTAGTTTTTAGTGCTATTAATAAATAGTAAAAATTTCATCAAAATCCATCGAGTAGTTATTGAATTATAGTGGTCACCGACTTGACGAACATAGTTTCGAGAAAAACGCATTTAAAGTTTTTTTAATTGGATACGGTATTATATTTTCGTAACATTTTGAGCTCAACGAATGAAGCTAAACTTTTTTTATGTATTTTTATCAGCTGAATCCAAATATATATAATTTTTTGCCGAGAAGTCGAACATTAAATTTTTTATAGAATTAATTTTGTTTTTATATTTTGGGCAATTTCAAAACAAAAGTATTTTATACAAAATCTTGCTAAAGCTCATAGTTTTTGAGTTATCAATTTTTGAAAATTTCTGAAAGACTTTTCCAATCTTACACTTAATTTATGTACTTATAGAATACTATTACAAGGAATCTTATCATTAACAAAATCATCACGTGATACCACAATTTTAAATCCCAGACCACGTGTGTTGGCTGTCTGAAATTTCACATCCCCATTACACTATTTTCCCTCTACAAGATTCGAAATATAGAAATAAAGTTTGTTGTTCTATATTCAATACAACTATCTTCAGGTACATCATCTTCTATAGTACATTTTAATTTTTTAGCTGATGAACTTGTAAAACTTTCATCACGTTCTATTGTTTTTAGATTGAAAACATTTTGGCTTTTCACGATACGCGACTATATAGTCAATTCATTTGTTTTTTTATTTTCTGCTTTCGATGTTTCTAATATATTTAAAATCATTAATTGTAAGATTTTGTAACACGAAAATTTGCTGGTTAATGAAGTGATGAAAAAGTTTATTTTTAAAGTGGCGTAAGTCACATCGTGAGAGTTTCAAACGGATATAGAAAATATTATGCAATAAAATTTTATGAGGTCCCAGTTTTTTTATTTTGATGCATACTGTTATCAAAGCAGCAGTTGAATTATTAATGTGCAATGAATTTGTTATAAACGCAGAACAGCGCCTTTCCACAGAAAGAAGCGCATTGTTCTCGCGCAGTCTGTGTTCCATCAAATCTATACACTTTTATGTCATGAAATCAACAAAAATATTCAACTTTTATTCTTTGTTCCCTGTTTTTGAGAAAAGAAAGAACTTTAAAAGGTAGCATTTAGCACATCAAAGTTAAATAAGACGTGTTCAAGCTCGCTAAGCTCGGTATTTAGTAGCACAAACGTTTTTATAACATCCATTTATTTTCTTTGAAGTTTTTTTAAGAGATATTATTTATTGAGGTTTTCTGCAGTAAAAAATAACAATCAAGATAACGTAAACTAAACCGCAACCGCATTTTTTCAAAAATGTGTTAGCTTTGCTAGTAATTAATAAAACAATCTTAATTTTAAAATAAAAATTATTTTACAAAAATCAAATGTTGAATATGTTTTTGTTTTAACACTTTGACGTCCAGGCGTTTCGAAAAAATTTCTTCGCTTGGAGCCGGCAGCGCTACTTCGGATTACTTCGCGTACGCCCGGCCGTATTCTAACTGCATGTCGCCGGACGTAGAACTCGCCGGGCGTAGAACTACGCTTTGTGCACCACACCAATGTGGTGTATCCGGCGATATTGCAACTTTTGTGCATGACACCAATGTGGTGTCGCCGGGCGTCATAGTGTTAATAACATATATATAGAAGTGTATACATTTAATTTTATTTAAAGGGAAATTTGCTTTTTCTACAGACTTGTATTTTCTTGAGGATTGAAAACGTTATTTCATTGATATTGAAAGCAGCGTAAGTCCAATCATACCCAAATATATTATTTCTTAAATATTGTTAATTATACTAATTGGATAGGGTAAATTTGAAACCTTTAGTAACCTAAAAATACTATTCTACTATGTCACTGTTATTTACATTTTTAAATTTAATCCAACGCAAGCCCTTCAATATCTCGATTCGAGCATAAATGGATTTACGCCATTTTTAAAATGGACGGCTCATATTCATATCCAGGCATTTATTCCGGCAAGATTTAAGATATTATAAAACACTTATGATTGCCATCTTCAGGATCTACTTTTCACGGTATATTTTCGGGCCATTTGATCCGTCATATCAATCTCAAATAAAAGTTTACTATCTTTTTCAATTTCAASACACTTATGTTTTTTACTCTTGTTTATAAGAATATTATTATTTACTGTTTTGGAAAATATTGTCAAGTAGCGAGGCATGTTATTTTTCTTTGATTTTGCAAGTTTACGTAATTCTCTCTTATTTTTTCTAATGGTGCCAACTAAGTAAGATTCTTAATTATCAGTTTTGTTGCTAATGACAAATTTGTAATGAAATTATCTGTTGTCACTGTTCTCCCGCAACCAATATATGGTTCCATAGGTTTTAGGACGACAAATTCASCAAAAGGTACGGATAATCTCATCCCATCTTTTCCTAAGTAGGGAAATACATTTACAAGATATTTACTTTTTATATATTCGACATCAATTAAAATTTGATATCAAACTTATTTGGCTTGTTTGATATCAAATTTTAATTGATGTCGAATATATAAAAAGAATTTGATATCAAACTTATTTGGCTTGTTTGGCATATACTGCGTAAATCTACATCTGGCCTTGRTCGGGATTAATTGTTCATCGACTGTAATTGCAGCTCTTGGTTTATAACATATTTGACTATTTTCAATGAATTTTTTCCACATTTCTGGAACTAATACAAATTTATATCTATTTCCAATCGTTGGCTTCTTTCATATTTTTTACTGAAACGAAATAGCAGAAGAATTTGGGCGAATTTTATCCTGTTCATTGTTTTAGAGAAAAATTTTCAAAAGTAAAAAAGTATATTGCTATATTAAAGCGTCAGATGTAGAWAAGATTTTATATTAAAAAGGACAAAACAAGAAAGAATTAATTATTTGCATATTTCAGAAAAAGTCATACCACCAAATTTTAGAATACAAAATGTGCAGAAATTAAATAATGATTATAACAAATGTCAAACAAGTCATTTTGACCCTATTTGCTAGATCTAGWGTTAAAATGAAGAAAATAGAAAGAAAGAAAGAAAAAAAGATAGGCCAACCAGATACGTGCCCATTGATCTTTCGACCTACTGACGATTTCTCAAATACCTCTTCTTTTCAACGTCGCACCGAATTTCATTTGTAATTATCGATAAAATCAATTGATCGAATCTTCTGATTGTGTTGTTGCAGGTGGATTTCCAAATGTGTGTTTATGGATCCCCGGCGTTTGATTTGCAGTACTTTCTTAGCACCAGTACGAATAACGAGGTGTACGATAATTACCAGGACAGGCTAATAGATGAATACTATAATACATTGTGTAACACGATGAAACAATTGGACTGCAAAACTCTTCCACCGAGCATAAAAGAGCTTCGAAAGTCTATCAAGGAACGCGAGATAATAGCGATGATAAGTTCTTTTACGGTACTTCCATATGTTATCGTAGATAAAAATGAAGCAAAGGATCTCAACGAGATCTTTACCAAGGATGGCGGTTATGATGGTTTCGCTCATAAAAATGACCTTTATCGTAAAATAATAAGCAAGAGGATTCCTTATTACGATCAATTAGGATTACTGGATCTGTAATAAATAATCAATAGTAGAATATTTTATGTAAATAAATACAGAGATATATTTCTTTATTATCTATATACTTGTTACCTAGCGTGGCCGGGGTGTCAGACACTGCCACAATACTCTAGTTTTATTCTTAATAATTGAAATTTAATTGAATCCAGTTAGTTAAATAACTAACCAATTACAATTGCCCACTCGTATAATTACGACTAGCGTTAATTGACTTGAGACAAACACAGACTCTCTCTGAATTGCGAAATATCAGTGAATCAATTAGGCAAGAAAGGAAGGTAATTGAGTAGACTTATGTATTTTCTTTAATCCAGGAGACACTGAAACCTAATTCTATTATTATTAACTCAATTTCCGCAATCTACCTTCACGATACATTTAAACCAAATGTAATTATCTCCTCTGTAGCCACTCCTGACCAATCATTATCGCCAGCAAATGAATCAAACTCCATCGAAAACTTAGCACCAACCATAGCCAAGGAGATAGCTAAACTTATTAATGAAACACGATGCAATAAATCAACTTGATCAGCGGCAAGATACTCAAAGAAACCATCAAGTGCAATAAGGATGCTCACCATAATCCTTAATGCTGCCTTAAGAATCAAATTTTTTCCAGCTTGCTCGAAAAGAGTTCAGTTTTTGATACTTAGAAAGACAAAAAAAAAACTCCACTTACGAACTTCATATATGTAAAATTTTTTGATGATGGTGGTATGATTGGTTGGATACTGAGGACAGATATATTTTGTCAGAAATTGCCGAGTGTGGGGTTGGGGGCATTCGAGAAGTTTGCGTTATTCTAAAGTTCCTAAAGTTATTAATAGACGATTTCTTTATAATTATCACCAAGTAAATGTTATTCTTTATTTGTCACATGTGTGAAGGTATAGGTGGGTTAGAGCATGTATCGTTAGACGAAAGAGAAAGAAACCGTTTCGTTGGATTAGAGTGTTTGTTTAGGCTGTAAGGTTACACCATCTGGACTTGTCGCCTTTGTGTGGCCCCATCGAAGTCTCTCGAACGTTCCCGAAGTGCAGGAAGAGTCTAGAATCCTCATGATCGGGATTCATCGGGAAATTTCTAGAAGGAATGCTAGAAAATAACGAGAGACGATGGACGGGATGTTAAAGGGTTACATGGGTTTAGGACTTTCAAGAAAATCAATTTTTTTGTCTTATTAAAATCTACATCTTGTCAAGAATATAGTGTTAAATTTTGAAGTCGATAGGAGTAATAGTTTAATAGATAGAGCCTTGGGAAGTTGCTCTCTTAAATGGCTCTTTTATCATCAATCAAAACCTTAAACGCGTTTTTTAAAGTCGGTTGCCAAGATTTCTCGGAAACTATTTAACCGATCTTGATGAAATTTGCTACACGTCTTCGAGATATTATTGACACACAAGGACTTGGACGAAGAATTTCTTTATTTTTCATCACATCTAATTTTAAGAAACCAAAATGTGGTGAAAATTGTAGCGAAATTTGAATGTTCTTTCCAAAAACGTTGCCATAAATACAAATTTCAACTTATTTTATTTTCCTTCGTCCAATTTCTAGTTTTAGATATTCACTAAAAGACCCTTTTTTTCACTAATTCGAAAACACTTTTCTTCGATGGGGTCATCGGAAGTGACGTCGCAATGGCAGAGTTTAAAATATTTTTCAACCAAAATTTCAAAAAATGCTCATTAAATATGTATCTTAAATGTTATAAAAAGTATGAATAAGAATTCCATTTTGTATATAGAAAAAAAAATTGTTGAAAATATGTTATATTTTCCCGGTGTAAACCCATGTAACCCCTTAAGCATATATGGGCGATAGAAAGGACCAGTAGGCGCATTCCGTTAAAGTTCATTGTTTATACGACGTGTGTTGGGTGTGAAAGAAAACGAGGAAAACGGAAGACAACGGGGGACGACGAAGAGTCGAGTACGGCTTGTCCTTCGCTAATTATGACGCTAATTATGTCTTTTTTTATAATTTAAATTATAGATGCATACCGTTCTATCTCATTATATTCTTAAATCGTTTAATAATTACTGTTAAATGTTATTAAATAAATCAATCAAAAGCTTACATATAGGCCTATTTCACTTCTTCCTTTAATATCGAAACTTTTAGAAAAGATAATCCTAACCAGAACAAAATTAATAATCAATGAAAATACGGTAATACTTCTCTAACAATTTGGCTTTAGAAGCAAATTTGTTACGATCGAACAAATTCATCGAATGACTAACATAAAAACATCGGCTATTGAAAGTAAGGAATACTGTACTGCTTTTTTTTAGACACAAAGAAAGCATTTGACAAAGTGTACCACGAAGACCCCCTCCTATTTAAAATCCAACAATATTTTCTTCTATCCTACTACCAACTATTTGAATCTTATTTTTTGTAAAAGTCCCAGACTCTGATTCAAAGGCATTTAACATTGAAGCTGGTGTTTCCGAGAGAAGTATAATATACCGAATCATATTTTATAAACCCTATTCACTGCGGATATTTTTATTACGCATGATACTGTGATATTCACGTTTACCACAGGTTTCCAAGTTACTCACAAAGACCCCATATCAACTTATACTCCAACATAATATTATCAAAATCGAACGTTTGTTTATTCTATGATAAATAAAAGTTAATGCCGAAAAAATACAGGCATATCATATTCATCTTGTGAAAAAGTACAATTCTTCCAGTTACCTTAAGGGGGGAGATGCAGTCAGGATTTTCAAAAAATGGATTTGTTTTTTTTGCTTTTTCTTGAAGGATGATGTTTCGAAAATATTCTCTGAAAATTTCAAGGTATTCCGATGAATAGTTTCCGAGATATCTTAGAATTGATAGATAGCGGACGGAAGCAACAAATAGATTCTCAGCGTATAAGGAAGGCTGACAAAAATTTATAACTCAAAAACTAAAAGCTTTAGCAAGATTTTGTATAGAATACTTTCGTTTTGAAATTGCTCAAAATATGAAAAGAAAATTATTTCATTCCAAAAAGTTATAATTTTTTTAAAAATTCGCTCAAACTCAAAATTTTTCGAAAATATAATACCGTATCCAAATCAAAAATCTTTAAATGCGTTTTTCTCGAAAATATGTTTTTTTTAGGTCGGTGACCACTATAATTCAATAACCACTCGATGGATTTTGATAAAATTTTGACTGTTTATTAATAGCACTAGTCCTTCATTAAAGGGTTTTCATTTATGTGAAAAACTTCGATTTTATTTTATAATAGACCCATAATTTTTCTGTCGAAAATCGGAAAAAATGCCAGGAAGCCGCCATTTTGTTAATTTTCAAGGAAACTAAAAAAGTTTTGATGAAGAACAAGATTTATTATTAAACTAATGATTTATATTCTTTTTGGTTGGATTATCCAGTAAAAGATGTTCAGATGGTCATCGTAAAGCATTACATACAAAACGGGGTCCAACAAAAAGATGGCGAAATTTTTATAATTAATTAATTTTTTTTATTTGAAATTTTGTGCCATTTAAGTTAAAAGTAAATTTAAAAAGAGTGTGTAATCAGTTTTTTAAAACAAATTATTATAAAAATTAATTATTATATAAAATAATATTATATTTATTATATATATGTTACCGTCATAGCCGGAAATAAGGCATTACTAGTAAATCTTCGGCATTACTATGAATGTGAAGAGCCTTCAGACGAAGTCGGAAATTGAAAAATTCTTCCAATTTTTCCTAGGCATCGAACATAATACTTTGATATTCTATAAAATATCAATTTACTATTTAAACAACGTTTAAAATAATACATCCTCGAGAACTGACCCCCCGCAAACAACCCACTAATCGCTCCAACACACACACACACAAAAACGAGCATGGGCGAGGGGGGTTGTTGAGACTTTCGTGTCGCTGTAACGGAAAATCTGTATTTTTTGTCCTTTATCGTATCGGAAGATAAGCGGGGGTTGCGTATCTTACACAACGAGTGAGTAGGGCGAGCGTTAGAGCGTGTACGGCCCTGCCGAAGCGTGAGACATGCGAGTTATATGATTCGGCCTCTAGGCATCTGGTTGCCGARCGGCCAACGTCCTTATCATCAAAGGTAGACTAAACATCCTCGATGCCCGAGCAAGGCGGCTTGAGATAAAGGGCCGTGCAATTGGAATGCGATAAGAGGCACAAGGAAAGTGCTTACCATCACTTCTCTCGTACCGGCGACGATTCACTCTCTGTCGGGCATTTAATCTGTAACGACGTATTAATCAGTAAAAGCATTTTAATCAACTTCTTTTAGTTAGATTATTTACTCACTTACCTGAACTAAATAAATCATTCGTTATTACTTACGTGTGTGAATTCATACCTCGTACACCGTAACGTAACTGGCGCAGCCGGTAGGATACACTGTGAGGCTGACAAATCCGGATTCTCCGCCAGACCTTTGACGGTGTTTTAAACCCATTGTCACAGTCCACCACGTCGAGCTCTGAGGCCCACCTACAAGCAGAGTGTCACCTGGAATCACCAAAGAAAAGTAGTAAGTCTTCGGAATTCCTTTCACTCCATTTCATTATAACCCTACCTCAAATACGATTGTTACGTAAAAGCGATTACTATAAAAGTGATATATACGTACATACAGGAAAGCTAAATAAAATATAGAGAAAGCGAAAATCAAAAGAATCAAATAAGCATTACGAATATACAGCGTGTCTTTTATTATTCAATACTTACGTTATATAATTAAAATATAAAATGGCTCAAAATCAAAATGCACAAATTAGTTTAGAACAATTTAAACTAAGACCAGAAATATGGCGGGACGCGATTCCCATTTATGAGGGAGGAAAAAGGTTTTTATCGCACTTTTTACAAACATGTGATAAGTTTGTCGAGAATTTGATGACGAACGACGATGCTATAAATACATCATTATTTGCACTTATCAAGTCAAAAATACGGGGGGAAGCATTGGATTTAATAGTCTCGAATAGCCTGGAAAAATTGGGCCGCGTGTAAAACACATTTAATAAATAGATATAGCGACGCTAGTTCAGA